TAAAGCCCTATTCCTATTACCACTTATAAATATTCTGTGTGCCTGACTATAGTCCATTTTAACCTTTTACGTAAGCATGTGAGACACTGGCGGCAAGTGAAGGAGCAATGTTAGTCCGTAAGATGGAGCTGAATGACAATGGTAGAGTAACAGGTTAGAGGGAGTTTGGGGTTCCTGACAACTTTCTATAGCAAAGCCACCTCATCAATTCAAACGTTTACAAAGGGAAAAAAAATAAACTTTTATTTTTAAAAAAAGTTTCTTAAGTCGCAGCAGCCAAACCTGTATCTTAATACAAATTCCAAGTTGAGGAGTGCCGGCTTTGTCAATAATACAATGTGTGGTGTAAATATCTTCATGAAAAAGGAAAAGGTCTAAATTAGGGCAGTAGTGATAAGAATATAAATCTGAAAAGAAAAACTATTTTGGAGGTTGAACCAATAGATAATATAGTTGGGCAAAAAGGGAGTGGTAAGATTTCAAGTTACTTAAAATAAGAAACATAAAAGAGGAAGAACTATACACAAATTGAGTTGATTTAACTGTCCAAATGCTCTGAGTAATGTGTTAAGCACTTGAGAGAGAACTTAACAGTCCTGAGGAGCATGGCTCAGTTGCCTGGGTGTCACAAAAGTAAAAGGAGGGAATTTCAGGGGAAAAGGGGAAGAGTTTGCAGGAACAAGTATAAAGGACACATGGATAATAACAGGGGGGTATGGAATGGCAGGGAGGTGGGGAGTGCTTGGGGGGTGGGCTGGGATGGGGGTAAAAGGAAGAAAACTGTACCTGAACAACAATTAAAATAAAAAAATAAAAATTTTTTTTAAAGTAAAAGGTATCTCCCTAGGTGGTGTAGCTCAATGGATTGAGTACGGGCCTATGAACCAAAGGGTCACCAGTTCAATTCCCAGTCAGGGCACATGCTTGGGTTGCAGGCTGGGTGTGTGTGTGTGTGTGTGTGTGTGTGTGTGCACGTGCACCATGTGAGGCAACCACACACTGATGTTTCTCTTCCTCTCTTTCTCCTTCCTTTCCTTTCTCTCTAAAAATATATCAAACTCTAAAAATCTTCAAGAAAAAAAATAGGGCTCAAAGCGAAAGGTCGCTGGTTCAATTTCTGGTCAGGGCACAAGACTGGGTTGCAGGTTCATCCTCGTTTGGGATGAGTACAAGAGAAAATGATCCATGTTTCTGTCACGTATGGATGCTTCTCTCCTTCCCACTAAAGAAAACAACAAATGAGATCACAAAGGGAGAAGTAAAAGTAACAGCATAGTGTCTCTATTCCTCCATTAAAAAAAAGCCAAATATATAATACTTCAAACGTTTCTCCTTTAAGTGAAATAATCTGAATGTCCTACATGTTTATCTCACAAGCATTTTTAGCAGTTAATGGACATCCTTATGATTCGGGAGTTCAATCTCATTGATTAGTTGAATAGCACAAAGTACAGTGGTCATTTTCATGTTTGCATAGTATCAAGTTGTTTTAAATTTTTAGTCACATTGTTTAATTTGTCCTCATAATAGACCATGCTGGTTAAAAACCAGAAAAATCATGGCAAAATGCACTAAATTATTGAGAAATAGAAAAACATTTCTGAAAGGTAATCTTGAAATTTTCCCACAAAGTGACATTTTATTTATATGATCAGAACTCTTCCAAAGCATAGCAAGGTATTTCTAGATTTTGAAAATAACTTTTGAGAGAATGACTATTATTTGCAACTTGGCTTTTGAGTTACTGAAGCAGGAAGGAAACCTCATCATATTTTAAATGTAGTTCTTAATAAAAAAAAGTGTTAGGTAAGATACATAGTAAACCAAGGCAAGGAGTATAAGGGAGACATGTTTCACCCATTAATTAACTCAGTAGTCCTGAGTTAATAAGATTGCCAGGTGTTCTAACCTCACAAGAAAAACCATGATAGCACAGGAGAGGAGCCCTTGAAGTTCTGTATCTTTTCCACTATCTAGGAAATAAAGCCTTGAAACTGTGTATTAATCTCAAGGTCTAGAAAGGGGAGGAGGTAGGGAAACCTAGCAGCTGGCTACAAGCATAAACCTCCTAAAATCCCAAGAGTTGGTGTACTCAGACTAGTTGAGTGCCTGCCTGCAGCTTCATGCTCATCTGTAAACTTACAATTTTATTTCCACTAAATGTGGGGCTCTCAGACCAGCTGGGTGCCCCTTGCCAGCTTCCTGCTCAAGTGCACTCTATAAATAAACTACTCTCTCATTTCCACCATACCTGTTGTCTCTCACCTGAATTCTTACCTTGCAAGCAAGACAAGAACCTAGGAGCAGAAACCTTGTAACTCAGGTTCCCCAGGTAACAAAAGTACTCTAAAATTTTTGCTCATAAAATCATTCAGATTATTAAAGTACCAAATGTAAGAACTCCAAACAGGTCCTGAGAGCAATTTTTAAAAATTGTTAATGCTAATTTAGATAAATTTTAATCTATATTCTGTCACAAAACACCACATTCATTTAAAAGGTGTTATCAAAATATTTTATAATTACACAGCATACATCATTTGATAATGGGAAAACCTAAACTTGTATATGACTGCAATGAAAAGTAATCTCTAACATGAGTTAACTCATTTTTACTGGGTCACTTAACATTGTTCATGCAAATGTGATATTTTAAAATTTTTCAAAGAATCTTCAGATTATATTGTTAAGTTTACAGAACTGTATTCCTGAAAGAAAAATTTGAGGATACCTGCCTTTCTAAAATTACTTCTCTGTTTAAAATTACAGAATATACTTACGCAATATAGTAAATTTAAAGTTGAAGTCTTTTTAAGTTGGTAAGAAACTAGAAAAGCAATAAATTTTCTTTAGCAAAAGAGATGTAAGACTGATAATTTTGGTATTCATTTACTGAGAATGTATACTTTCAAGAAAAAATGGCAAATAGAACATTATCACTTAGGGCTTATCTTCAATATTTAAATTTCTCTGTAGTACAGAAACAGACCTTAGAAAAAGGATATGAACATATCCTTAATATTATTTTCTATGTATAAATTGGAAGCAACAAATACAGTTCAAACAAACTAAAAGTCGAATCTTCCAGAAAATATGCATTTCTTAGCCACTGATTTCTAACATGTACTTTAGCCATCAATTAAACACCACTTTAACACTAATTTAATGATATCTGAGGCCCCCACCAAGGAGCTCAATTGGTTTGAGCACTGTCGTCAATATGCCAAGGTTGTGGGTTCAGTCCCAGGTCAGGGCACACACAAAAATCAACCAATGAATGCACAAATAACTGGAACAACAAATAGATGTTTCTCTTTCTCTCATCCCCCCACCCTCGCCTCACAAATCAATTTTTTAAGCAAAGAATCAACCAATGAATGCATGAATAGGTAGAAAAATCAATGTTCTCTCTCATTAAAATAAAAATAAATGATAGTTGAACTCTTGCAACGTATGTTTTATAACATTCATGATTTTTTTTTAAATTAAAAGAAAATATCATTAATCATTATTTTACTGTTTTCTTTGGAATTCCTACAACAAAATAGTGTTGACTCTGCTGGAACATCAGTTAACCGTGAATAATTGAAAACTAAATTCAAGGCAACAAGATGAATGTATTTGCTTTCTTCTCATACATGTCAAACTGCTAAAGATAATCTCTCACACACAGTCTTTTATCCGGTAGGTTTTCTGATTCGATACAAATTTCCCCCTTAAATGAAAAACAACTCGTGCTTTCTACGTTGATTTAAAAAAAAAAAAAGAAGGAAAAAGAACTTCTTGCGTCCTTCTCTCCAACTCATATAGAACTCAGCAGTTCAGATGGACAGTGACCAGAGGGGAGAGGGGAAGGAATTTCAGAAGAAAAGGAGAAGGATTTACAGGAACTAGTACAAAGGACACGTGGGCAACAACTAAGGGCGGGTGGTAATGGGAGGGAGGTGGGGAGCACTGGGGGGGAGGCTGGGATGGGAGTAAAAGACAGAAAACTGTACTTGAACAATTAAATAAAAATTAAAAAAATTAAAAAGATGCTTTGCTCACAAAAACCTCCCCAGGCCCATAGGAAGCGACCAAGCATGCCAAGGCAGAACCAGAGATTTCTAAATCTCCTACAGATCGCAACTAGGGAAACCAAGATTTAACACAATTGCTCCTTCACTTCTGTTTCTTACAAAGACCAACATTTTCCAGCTTAAAAAAAAACTGCAAAAAAATATATGAATAAAAAAGATCACTGCAGGAATGTTGACTGCACACTGGTGAAAAAAAACTGCTGAAATGCGGACCCTAACGCCCACTGCTACCAAATGATGGCCTTAGTCAAGGCATAACTGTACACAAGGGCAAACACTTCGGGAGCTGCTCCCTCGCCAGCAGCTGAAAATGAAGACGTCTCTTTCGAACCAGAGCATAATGGTGTGGCATTCCCTCTCCCCCTTTCATTAATTACCAGCCTTCTCCCTTTCTGAACAGTCCTTCAGCCAACCTCTTGTCTCAGTAAAAGTTACGGTCAGAGTCTTAATGAGGCAAGGATTATTTGAATGGCTCTATGGAATTCAAGAAATCGATTTTAAGGCATTATATCCCGCCTCCAAGCCTTCAAAATGACGAACAAACCAAAGCCACCAACACCATTCACAGCTATCTCCACCCAGGGGTGAGAATTAGGGCAAGAAGACCTTTCCCTTTCAGGGAAGTGAAACTCAGCGATCAGTTCGTCCAGCCAGACTGGCCCCCAGCCCGCACAGGTCCCCCAGGACCCCTCTACACCTTGAGCGGATTAGCTTTAAACGCACAGAAGCCCAGTTTCAGCCACACACAAAATGGCAGACAAACACCTACCGGTCGGAACAGCTGCGCCACTAACAGCAAAGCCAGCCTCTTGAGTGAGGATATCCTCATTGGCCCAGAGAGAGCGCGAGACAGCTCGAGAGCTGCTGTCAGCAAATTGGACGGCGGCGCGCTTCGCCACCGCTTTGTAGCCGAAGGTATGCGCTAGGAGGTCTGAGGCGTGACCCCTGGGTTTACAACCAATGGGCACCCGGCCAGGCGGTGTCCGAGTCCTCTCAGTTAGGGTTCGCGTTTGAGAGGCCAGGGTGTTACGGATTGGGCGGTCTTCCCTCCGCAGAGGTTAAATCTAGTAAATGGGGGAGTGCTTACTGGCCAGGGGTTATTCCGGACCATAGGATCCTTCGAAAAATATCCTGACCTGGTAGTCAACTCAACCTCACTAACAAAGAGGGTGGGGCGCAGTCTTCATTCAGCATTGGCTGGCGACCAGGAAAACTCAGCGAAGCTGGTGTAACTGAGGTACGGCCCTGGGTAGCCCTCAGACGGGTCCTTCGACCCAGGACCTGGGTATGTGGGGTAAGGTTGCCCTTGCAACCTCCTTCCTTTCACCCATGTGCAGATCCCGGCTGGAGAAGGGACTGCGGGAGCACGGCATTCTCAACCCCCACTTCAGCCTCCCTCTTGCGGTATATATATTAATGTGAGGTGATTACTGAGCAACTGGGAAACAGGCTGTAAAAGGGGCCTGCAGGAAGTGGACTGCAGTATAAAATCAAGAAGCAAAACTTGAAGGTTTAACCACTGATCCATTTCACAGGTAAGGCTACACGAGACCTAATCATTTATCCAAGATCACGGAGTTGAGTTCAGATCCCAGGAGCATCTGACTTATTCGTCACAACCCCGTAAGTAGTTTTCCAGTGAGTAATAAAATAAGGAAACAGTATGTAATTAACTGTGCTCTTCCGCATGTAGAAACCTGCAGTTTGTTCTGTATGTATTAATAAGACTAAGAAAATATATAACTGACGATAGAATGGAATAAAAGAACATGGGCTCTGCAACCGTAGTGCCTAGTTCTTTATGTTTTGTTTCTGGCACTTTCACTAGAAAAGCAGCATGCTAATGTGTCTAATTGTTACGCAGAATAAGAACAGGGGCGTAGTATTTAGAAAGGTACCTGACACATGCTTTATACTCAAATTATGTTCCTTACTGTTAAAACTAAAACATAAGGAAACAAAATAGTAACAGTTTCATAAGACCCTATTTTTTAAAAACGAAAAAGAACCGCAAATTGAAGTGAAACTGACTACTTTTCTGCTAAAATAAAAAAAGTGAGAAAGGGAAAAATATGAAAAAATTTACATCAAGTTACACTCCAAAATAGTAACACTGGTTGTCTCTGGATCATGAAATTATGAGTGATTTTAAATTTTTCTTACATACACTTTACTATATCTTTGCATATTTTCTCCAGTAAAAGTTTTACTTTTGTAAGTTCAGTTACTTTAAAATTTTCAGGAGTTATGAACAATACTGATGAGAGCTTTTTTAAAAAAAGAAGCTATTACTGAGTGTGCTGTATGCTGTAGGTGGACGTATAAATAGATGGAACCTTTCTGAAAGCAGTTTAGCAAGATGCTCCAGAAAGCTTTAAAATGGGCAGTCCCTTTATGAAAATTATATATATTTTTTAAATTAAGTATACTTTTACATTTCCTTTTACAAAATTAGAACTTTACAGATATATAAAGAGAACAATCCACAATCCCTGAATTCGCTCTCCCTCCCCCAATTGCACAACAAAGCCTCAAGTCCTCGTTTGTATTTATATATTCTCAGTAGGTGCATATATGCATTTATAATTTTTTCAAAGGGAACTAGTATACTGTATAAGTCTAACTCTGATGATGTTTTGCAGTATATGCATGTTATAGCTCATTATGTTATTCATGGTTTATTTCAGGTTGGATAGTGTTCTAGTGTATGACTAAATTGCTCTGTTAATGTAAAATACTTATTTTTGTGTCTTATTGGTTTTCATACTAAATTCTGTTTTGTTTGACGTGTACTGAATAGCATATATTATTTGCCATTCTTTTGATGGACATTAGGTTGTTTCCAATTTTTCACCTTGCAGGGCAGCCCTTGCATGTGTTTTCTTGTACTATTTCTAAAGATATATATCTAAAACTAGAATTGCTTGGTTTTAAGTTATAGACATTTTTAATGTCTTACCACATTTTCCTTGAAAATATTTCTACTAATTTACACATCTCATAAGTAGTTTCTTACCATTCATTTTCCCTATAATGTAGACCAGTGATTTTTAACTGGTGTGCTCCAAGAACTTTTTAGAACATGCAATTCCCAACTATTTACTCAGGGGCACTGACTAAAATAGAGCATCAAGTTAAAAAAAATGACAACAGCCAACAGACATCAGTAGCTGTCTGATGAGAATGAATCAAAATTATATTTTTTGTCAAATCAGCAAAAAATATAATACATTTTTTGGTGTACTGCAGAATTTTAGTAGTTAGTTTATGTGTGCCATGGGATGAGAAAGGTAGGAAATTGCTGATCTAGACCAACACAAGATACTATCTTACCTTTTGATCATCTGACAAATGAAAACGATACTCATTTTTTAAAGATTTCATTCTCTGATTACTAAGATTGCAATATCTATTCATGTTTATTAACCCATAATTTATTTAGATTTCTTTTTTTTTTTTTAAAGTACACATTTCCTATTTAGTTATCTTTTTCTTGATGATTGAAGGAGTTCTTTATGTGTCCTGGATACTGTGTATCATGTATAATTTAAAAAATTTTACCCCTGGCTGGTGTAGCTCAGTGGATTGAGCGCAAGCCTGTGAAGCAAAGGGTTGCCAGTTCAATTCCCAGTCAGGGCACATGCCTGGGTTGCAGACCAGGTCCCCAGTGGGAGACACATAGGAGGCAACCACACATTGATGTTTCTCTCCTACTCTTTCTCCTTCCCTTCCCCTCTCTCTAAAAATAAATAAATAAAATGTTTTTTAAAAAATTAAAAAATTTTTCTGTGACTGCTGGCTATGTCCCTTTTTTGTTAACATTGTTAAAATGTTACATTTTCTTCCAATTCTTTCCTTGGCTTTTAATTTTATTTTGTTAGTTTTTGCTTATTTATTTCACAGATTTTTTAAATTTATAATCTTTAGGTCTCTTTATTATACTGCCTTTCTCCAAGACTTCCATCCAGTACAATATTGAGTAAGAGTTGTGGTAGCAAATGTCCTTATCCTGTGCCTAACTTGAATGAAAATGCTTTGCTGCTAGGTAAGTAAATAGTCTTTGTCGGGTTAAAGAATTCTTTATTTATTATTAGTTTGCTGGGAGTTTGCCCTCTTCCCTCCTCCCTCCCATAGTTGTTGACCTCTGAATTATTTTGTTTTCTTGTATCACAGATGATAGTTTTCCTTCATTTATCTGTTAATGTAAAAATTAACATTGAGAAACTTTCCAATGTTAAACTTTTTCAGTATTCCTGGGATAAATCTTACATTAATAATATACTTGTCTACTAATGCATGCTTTTACTTTCTGTTTTTGCTTTTATACCCATAAGTGCTTTTGGCCTTGAGGGTTTTTTTTTCTTTTCATGTCAAGTTATACTAATCTTTAAAAAAAAAGTTCAATAGCTTCCCATATTTTTCCTGCTCTGGAACTTTTGTATACTTATAGAAATTAACTGTTCCCTAAGAATTTTGTAGAATTCATCTATAAAACTTTATGGACATGGTATGCTGGAAGTAAGGTGGGGATGTGTGGCATGCAGCTTATTTTTTAAGGTTTTATTGATTTACTTTTTAGAGAGAGGGGAAAGAGTTTAGAGAGAGAGAAAAAAATATTAATGTGTAAGATACATCAGTTGGTTGCCTCTCCCAAGCCCCCAACTGGGGGATCTGGGGAACCTGGCCCATAACCCAGGCATGTACCCTGACTGGGAATCAAACCAGTGACCTTTTGGTTTGGTTCTCAGGCTGACGCTCAATCTACCGAGCCACAACAGCCAGGGCTCATACTTATTCCTCTAACTGAGATTTTTTTGTTCTTGAGCCTACTTTGTATTAAGTCCATAATTTCAGTGAGATGGTCATGGTGAATTGTTTTGTCAGTGTGAAATATTTCTTTGTCTTTTTTATTGGTTTCCATATTAACTTCTGTTTTGTTTGATGTGAATCTTTCTTGTATTTGCTGTTAAGTCTTTTTTCACATCCTTTCATTCAACCTTTCAGTGATATTTTGTATGATTTAAGTGGATCTCTTTATTTAAACCTATCATAGCTAGGCTTTACTTGAAATAAAGTCTGAGAATCTGTCTTTTTTGTTGTTGTTGTTAGATTTACTTATTTACTTTTAGAGGGAGGGGATGGAAGGAAGAAAGAGAGGGAGAGAAAGAACAATGTGCCAGAGATCAACTACTTCCTGCAGGCCCCCAGCTGGGACCTGGTCTGCAACCCAAGCATGTGCCCTAACCAGGAATGGAACCCATGGCCTTTCTGTTTACAGGCCAGCACACAATTCACTGAGCCACACCAGTCGGGGCAAGAGCCAGTTTTTTAATAGTAACATTAAGAGGATGATTTCCAAAAGCTACTCTACCTCAGCTGGCTCTTCTCGTCTCTCCTAGCCCTTAACAGTTTTGGGGACCAGTTCCAGGAGGAAGAGTTGAGCTGTCACTGCTTAAGGACCTTGAGGGGGGGCTTCCATTTCCCAGAAACTTGATGGTGAAATGCTGGTGGTAATTTCGAAAGAGACCATCCACATTTTGAAAAAATCACCTTCGGACTTGGACCGAGTGCTGGGAGCCTAATAAAGTGACTTGGAAGCCATGGAGGTATCCAGAAAAGAGGGAATCGGAGTCATCCCAGAGTTTCATGTTTTGTTGTTTATATTGGAGGATTTTAAAAAGGATCATGTTCTGCAGCACATGTTAGTGTGTTATGTTGTGGCCATGACACAATTTTGCATTGCAGAGGTTTACTTCCTGTGGTTTTTTGTTTTGTTTTATTTTTTAAGATTTTTATTTATTGACTTCTGGCCAAGATGGAGGCATAGGTAGATATACTTTGTCTCCTTGCACAACCAAAAGAAGGACAACAACAAATTTAAAAATAAAAAATAACCAGAACTGCCAGACAATTGAACTGTATGGAAGTCCAACCACCAAGAAGTTAAAGAACATTCATTCAGACTGGTAGGAGGGGTGGAAACGGGCAAGGCAGTGGCTGGCAGACTGGGTGGTCTGACATTTCTGTATAGATAACAGGGAAATACAATTGTGGAGCTATACAAACCTCACATTCAGGGATCTGGTGTGGGGAAATAAAGCCTCAAAGTCTCTCTCTGGTGGTAAAAACCTGTAGGGCTTGCAGCAGCTGGAGAAATTCCCAGCCTTACGGGAGAGTTCAGGAAACCCATGGGGTCCTAGAATGCACTGAATGTACCCACCTGGAATCATCACTAGAAAGGCCAAATTTGTTTGTGGGTAGCGAGGGAAGTGACTGAAAGCCAACAAAGAGCCCCGTAACCAGCATTGTTCCCTCTTTAACCACTCCCCCACATATAGCACCACAACCCAGCGACCTGGTTTGATCTGACCTGGTAAATATCTAAGGCTTTGCCCCTTATAATATAACATCTCTGCCAAGACAAAAAAAAAAAAAAAAAAAGAGCCCAAATGAAAGAACAGATCAAGCTTCAAAATGGAACTAAGTGATGAAGAGATAGCCAACCTATCATATGCGGAGATCAAAATACTGCTAATCAGGATGCTCACAGAAATGGTTGAGTATGGTTGCAAAATGGAGGAAAAAGTAAAGGCTATACAAATTGAAATGAAGAAAGACGTACAAGGAATCAACAGTGAAGGGAAGGAAACTGGGACTCATATCATCAATTTGGACCAGAAGGAAGAAACAAACATTCATCTAGAATAGAATAAAGAAACAATTTAAAAACATGAGGAGAGGCTTAGGAACCCCTGGGACAACTTTAAACATTCTAATATCTGAATCATAGGGGTTCCAGAGGAGAAGAGGAAGAGCAAGAAATTGAAAACTTATTTGAAAAACTAGTGAAGGAAAACCTCCCAAATCCGGCAGAGGAAATAGACTTCTAGGAAGCTCAGAGAGTCCTGAAGAAGTTGGACCCAAGGAAGCACACTCTAAGGCATGTCGTAATTACATTACACAAGATTAAAAATAAGAGAATTATAAAAGCAGCAAGAGAAAAGGAGACAGTTACCTACAAAGGAGTTCCCATAAGACTGTCAGCTGATTTCTCAAAAGAAACCTTGCAGACAAGAAGGAGCTGGAAAGAAGTATTTGAAATTATGAAAGGCAAGGACGTACATCCAAAATTATTCTATCCAGCTAAGCTATCATTTGGAATGGAAGGGCACATAAAGTGCTTCCCAGATAAGGTCAAGTTAAAGGTGTTCATCATCACCAAGCCCTTACATGAAATGTTAAAGGGACTTGTCTAAGAAAAATATGATAAAAAATGTGAAGAGTACAATAACAACAAGCTCACAACTAATGATAACTGAACCTAAAAAACAAAAACAAACTAAGCAAACAACTAGAACAGGAACAGAGTCACAGAAATGGAGATCCCATGGAGAATTATCAGTGGGGAGGGAGGGCGTGAAGAATTGGGGAAAAGGTACAGGGACTAAGAAGCATAAATTGTAGGTACAAAATAGGCAAGGGGAGGTTAAGAATAGTATAGGAAATAGAGAAGCCAAAGAACTTATATGTACAACCCATGGACATGATCTAAAGATGGATAATGCAGGTGGGTGCAGGGCAGAGGGGAATAAAGGGGGGGAAATACGTAATGATATCCGGCCGATGAAGAACTTCCCTTGCTTTTACTTTATTTTTTCTGATTTTTTGACAAGCCCCTTCCATCACCACTCCAGAAAAGAATATAATTTCCTGTGGTTCTGTCTTCTAGCATTTTTGTGTCATTTGTTATTAGCATCCATTGGTAATCTGTGTTTATCTAGCATTAATTTGTTTTACTCAGTTGCCCACATGCTGTTGTACCCCAGTACTTCCTTCCAGATTAGTTTTTATTTATTCTGTACTTCCTTATTTCTTTCAGAGATTCTGAGTGGCTCTTTGAATGTGTGTAAAAGTTTTTAATCTCAAGTATTGAAATATAGCTTGGCTTAAATAGTATTCTGGCATTCAGAATATTACTCAGACTTATATTCCTTTAACATCTGGCATTTCTGATGAGAAATTTGATTACCAGTCTGTTACACATTCCTTTCAGATAATCTAGATTTTTCTAGAAGCTTCTAAGACTTTGTCTTTTATCTTGATATTCTGAAGTTTATCCATGGATTTTTTTAGTGGTGCGTATTAAGAATTTTATCCTGCTTGGTACTCAGTGGACCCTGATGGGCTTATGTGTTTACCAGTTCTGAGAAATTCTTGGTCTTTATGGTCTCTTTATTCTATTTTATTCCTCCTCTTATTATTTCTTTGCTCAGTGTTTTGAGTGAATTATACTCAACTCAGCCTTCGAGCTTACCAAATGGCCCTTCATCTGAGTTTGTGCTATTATCTAGTCATCTATTTAGTTTATTCAACAACTGTTTTTATTTTTAATACTTACTTGAGAACATGTTTACTAATTTTAGAGAAAGGCAAAAGGGAGGGAGAGGGGAGATAACATGGATATGAGAGAGAAACATCAATCTGTTGCTTCTTGGCACTCACCCTAATTGAGACAAAATCTGCAACTCAGGGATGTGCCCTGATTGGGAATTGAACACACAACCTTTAGGTTTACAGGACTACACTTCAACCAGCTGAGCTCCACTGGCCAGGGCAACAACTGTTTTTATATTCAATATAAGTATCTAATTGGTTATTTTTCAAAATTGTACGTTATTTCATGGATGAGGTTTTTTTCTTTTGTTCTTTGAGGATATTAAATACAGTAACGTTTGTTTTAAAATTATTTTCAGGATGCTCTATTCTTCTCTTGAATTTAAATCCATTCATTTGTGGGTCTGTTAAATCTTTTTCATGATATAGCTTTCCTCAGAGGTTTGATGTCTCTGAAATGTGCACTCATCTCCTCTGAGAGGTTTTGCTCTTCAATGTGCTGTATTATGGTGGTTGACATTATCTCTGCGGCTTCTCTTTTGTTTCTTTCCCTAGAGAGGTCTCAGAGACTTGATCCATAAATAATTCCTTTTTTGTTTTCAGCATGACTACATAGTTTTAAATTAAAAAAAATAATAGTATATCTGTGGGAGTGGGAGAAAAATTTATCATATGTTGACTAATGTCTTGAGACTGAAAACTGTTGATCTCTTTTTGACCTGTTCCACTTCTAGGTATATATCTTAAGGGAATAAACATAGATATGCGTAAAGCATATTCCAGCATTAATTAGTACTGAAAAAATAAAAATGACATAAATGTTTAATATAGAGGTTTATTTATAGTACTAATTAATAACTTACTAAATTTTAGTTATTAAAATTTTTTAGCTTATTTTAATACATGTATTATTGACCAAAGTATATTGTACACTTAAAAGCCATATTACAGAAAAATATTAATGACCGGGGAAAGTGCATTATATGTTACCAGGAAAAGATTTTAAAAATTACATATACTAAATTCTAGATTTTGTTTGAAAAGTATACCTACTGAAAGAACAATAATTACTGCTGGTATTTATTGAGTCCTTTGTATGTGCCAGGGACTATTTTAAGTGGTTAAGTCTTATTCTCACTGCAACTCTATGCCCATTTTAAAAGTTTTTATAAAGTATTTATAAAGTGAGGATAGTTTATGTTAATTAAAAATTAACATAAATTACTAAATATGGGCAATTTTTAATTTCTCTAGTTTTCTAATTTGGATATTTTATACATTTTTTAAATTAATGTGTACTTTTTTTATAAGAGATCCTGGTATTTTTAAAAGGTAGAGCTATTGTTATATAACAGTCTCTTCTTATGTATTTTATTCTTTACAATTTTATACCATTCTTTATTTTCTTTACAGAATGTTTTATGCATTTATGGACCAAAAGATGGAGTTGTCTGATACAGCTATAAATATTTAATCAATGAAGATTCATGGACTTGTCACTATGTTGGACTAGTTAATTCTTAAAGTTTCTTTAATCACAATTTCTATTTGAACATTCAAATATCACAGAATACTGGGTTTAGAGTGGTATAATGATTTATTTTTCTCTGAGGACTGCAAATTTCATAGACACCACAGTTGGATTCCAGTTATATTCTCCATCAAAGTGATTCACCCATTTGATAAAGTTAATTTTGAAGAGTTTTATGTTTATGAACAACACCAAAGATGGGAGAAAGAAATGGTAAGTTGAAAATCCATTGTTAAACTTTATGTTTAAAAGTATGTAGACTACAAAAGAAAAAGTATGTAGACTACTTCATGAAGCTGAATAGTGGAATTTTCAAGGTGTTTCACTGCAAGTGCCTTTCTGAATTAGAAGGAATTAAGGGTACATTTTGATGTGGCCAACAGTTTCATTTGTTCATAATTAATTGTGTAAGTATCTGTAATGCAAAGTCAGTACTTTAAGGTACTTTAAAAAATATTTATTCTTTAGAAACCATTTGTATCTACAGAAAAATTGAGAGGCTAAAACAGAGTTCCCATATTCCTTGCTCCCAGTTTTGCCTATGATTAACATCTTATATTTGGTTGGTACATTTGTTACAATTAATAAACCTGAACTGACCATTATTATGAACTAAATTCTATGGTTTATTCCTGTTTATTTAGTTGTTACCTGATGTCTTTTTCTGTTCCAGGATCCCATCCAGGATACCACATTACATTAACTTGTCATGTCTCCTTAGGGTCCTCTTAGATGTGACAGTTTCTCAGACTTTCTTTGTTTTTGATTTTGTAGAAATTTGTATCCAGCTACTTTTTTAGTATCTGAGCTTCTAATACCCTCTATTGGAATTCTTGACTTACATTTTTTTCTCATGATAAGACCGGGATTTATAAGGTTATGGAAGGTAAAGTGCCATTTTACCACATCATATCAAGGTTGTATTTATCAGCATGGTTTCTCACTTGTTGCTACTGAGCTTGATCACCTAGCTTAAAAATGGTATCTGATTTCTCCATTGTAAATTCTAGTTTTAAAAATATTTTACTTTATTTTTTTACAGAGAGGGAAGGGAGGGGAAAAGAGAGGAAGAGAAACATTGATGTGATGTGCAAGATATACATCAATCAGTTGCCTCTCACATGCCCCCAACTGAGGACCTGGGCCCACAAGCCAGGTATGTACCCCGAACAGGAATTGAATCAGCGACCTTTCACTTCACAGGCCAGTACTCAATTCGCTGAGCCACACCAGCCAAGGTTCTGGTTTTATCTCCCTTTCCCTATTGTACTCTTTGACAGTAAATCACTATGTGCAGCACACACTTAAGCTGTGATGTATGCTCCCCTTCTTTCAGAGCAGAATATCTACATCAATTATTTGGAATTATTCTGCAAGAGGGATTTGTCTCCTTTCCTCCACCTTTGTATTTTTTCAATCATTTATTTATATCAGTATGGAGTAGTAGATATAACTCAAAGTATAAAATACTTTGAGTTATAATCTAGTACTGTTTTATTTTGTCACTCGAATTGTTCTAGGATTGGCCATTGGGAGCTCTTTCAGTTGGCTCTCTGTCCCCTTAACATACCCTTATTAATGTAGGCGGGTTTTGTCTCATTTTGTTTTTTAGTACTTCCTTATATTCTGGTATTATAAGATACTCCAGGCTCATGTATATTTTCTGTGCCAGCCCTAGAATCAGCCATTTCTTGAATTATCCCTGGTTCCTTTTATTGGAAAATGGTATTAGAAACCAAGGTCTGGGCAATAGGTATGCTCTTTGTTGCTGGGTCCTGTTGCTTTAGGCTCTCTCAGCTTACAGATCATGGGAATATATATACATGTATACTAACATAAGTGCTCAGCTGATAGAGCATGGAAATATATATACATGTAAACTAATACAAATGTGTATAGTAAACTATATATATATATATATACACATAGCTATATTTCTGTATGTAGTCATATGTGTTCAACATGAGTTTATATTGATGTCTCCAACTCTAATCCATTACCACATGGGTCATTTTAGTCTGCTTTCCTTGTTTATCTGTATACGCCCACTCCAACAGTAAGAAATGTGGCTCTAGCCATCTGTTATCCATTTGTTTAATTGCTCAATTCCCGTATACAAGCATCCCTTGGAGATACTACCAGTTGGATTCCAGACCACCACAATAAGTATCAAAGAAAGTCATGACTTTTTTGCTAGTGTAGGGTCTTGCCTTCAATTTGTAGAAAATGCAATATGTGTAAGTATAATAAATGAAGTACAATAAGATGAGGTATACATATATATGTATAGCAGTATCAGAAATGTACATTTAACCCTGGATGGTGTGGCTTAGTGGATTGAGTGCCAGCCTGGGAACCAAAGGGTTGCAGGTTCTATTACTAGTTAAGGCACATGTGTTGCAGACCAGGTCCCCAGTAGGGGATGCATGAGAAGCAACCACACATTGATGTTTCTCTCACTCTTTCTCCTTTCTCTAAAAATAAATAAATAATTTTTAAAAATAAGTATACATTTATTCCTAGGTAGGAAACTACAGTGTTTGTGCACACTTCCTGTTACTTTTAGTCTCATATACTCTATTAATTTTTAAAGTTATTTAGGTCAGTGCCTTTTCCACCTTGCCCTTTAGTGAGGCTGTATGTATATTTTTTAATAGTTAGATTCTCTTATTACATTCCTTCCTGGGATCCCTAACCTCTTAAATTATACTTTAAAATTTACATACAGAAAGGTTTACTCTTTGTGCTTTAAAGTTCTTCGGGTTTTGACAAATGTATAATGTCATGTATCCACCATTACAGATTGCACAGAATAGTTTTAATGAACTTGTAATATGTGGATTGTTAAATAGATCACATAGTACTGATTTCACTGGACCATTTCTAGGCCAGTGGTTCTTAAACATTCTTTTACTCTCAGAACTACTTTATACTCTTAAAAGTATTTAAAACCCCTATAGCTTTTGTTTATGTGGATAATACATTTTCATATTTTCTGTGTTAGAATGTGAAACCAAGATTTTTCAAAATATTAATTGGCTCATTTTTAAAAAAATTTATAAATTTTAAAAAATTGGCTGGTGTGGCTCAGTGGATTGAGTCCAGTGAACCAAAGGGCTGCTGGCTGGTTCAATTCCCAATCAGGGCACATATCTGGGTTGCAGACCAGGTCCCCTGTTAGGGGGCATGCGAGAGGCAACCATACATTGATGTTTCTCTCCTTTTCTCCTTCCCTTCCCCTCTGTCTAAAAATAAATAAATAATAAATAAACCAAATAATAATGTGAATTTATATATTTGTGAGAAATAACTATTTTCTTTTTTTTAATTTATTTTTTTATTGATTATGCCATTACATTTGCTCTATTCCCCCCTCCCTTCCCCTCCACCCTGCATACCCCTCCCCCACCATTTCCCCCTTTAGTTCATGAACATGTGTCTCAAATTCTTTAGATTCTGTATTTCCCCTACTATTCTTACCCTCCCCCCTATGTATTTTCTATCTACTGTCTATGCTACTTATTTTCTGTACCTTCTCCCCCCTTCCCCTCCTCCCACTCCCCTGTTGCTAACCCTCCATGAGATCTTCATTTCTATGGTTCTGCTCCTGATCTAGCTGTCCTCTTAGTTTGCTTTTGTTTTAGGTGTGGTTCTTAATAACTGTAAGTTTGCTGTCCTTTCACTGTTCATCTTTTTTATCTTCTTTTTCTTAGGTAAGTCCCTTTAACATTTCATATAATAAGGGCTTGGTGATGATGAACTCCTTGAATTTGGTCTTATCTGAGAAGCACTTTATCTGTCCTTCCATTCTAAATGAAAGTTTTGCTGGGTAGAGCAATCTTGGTTGTAGATCTTTGGTTTTCATGATTTGGAATACCTCTTTCCAGCCCCTTCTTGCCTGTAAGGTCTCTTTTGAGAAATCAGCTGACAGTCTGATGGGAACTCCTTTGTAGGTGACTGTCCCCTTAGCTCTTGCTGCTTCTAGGATTCTCTCCTTCATTTTAATCTTGGCTAATGTAATGATGATGTGCCTTGGTGTGTTCCTTCTTGAGTCCAACTTCTTTGGGACTCTCTGAGCTTCCTGGATTTCTCGGAAGTCTATTTCCTTTGCCATCTTGGGGAAATTCTCCTTTATTATTTGTTCAAATAATTTTTCAACTGGTGGTTGTGCCTTTCCCCCTTCTGGTACCCCTATAATTCAGATGTTGGAACGTTTAAAGATGTCCTGGAGGTTCCTAAGCTTCTCCTCATTTTTCTGAATTCTTATTTCTTCATTCCTTTCTGTTTGATCATTTTTTTCTTCCTTCTGGTCCTCTCCCTTGATTTGAGTCCCAATTTTCTTTCCATTACTATTGGTATCTTTTGTATCACCACTCATTTCAATTAATTTAGCTTCCATATGTTTCTCTAATTTGTGACTAAAATCAACCAGTTCTGTAAGGATCCTTATAACCAGTGTTTTGAACTGTGCATCTGAAAGACTGGCTATTTCTTCATCACTTAGGTCTATCGGTTCTGGGGCTCTGAGTTGTCCTAGAGCCATTTTTGGTCTATTCGTGCTGTTAAGTGAGCGGAGCGAAGCCTTAGTTGTTTATCAGGATGGGGCGACCCAGGTCGCTGGTTTGTGACGCTGTGTGTGGGGGCGGGGTCAGAGAGGGAGCAATGGCGTTCCTCTTCGCTAGCCCAGCGCATCCAGTCACTCACACGCCTCGGGCTTGTTTATCCGATCGGAACTGTGCGAGCCTGCTGCACGGCGCGGGTTTCCCTTCTCACTGGTTTCTCCGCACGTAAATGCGCGCGACCGACCGACCCACCGACCGACCCACCGCGCCTCTTCCCTGTGAGCTCCGGAAGCCAGCTCGCTGGGATCAGCGCCCTCCGTTGCCTGCGCGCACTGCGCACCGCCCCGGGAATTTTTTCTTGCTAACCTGCTCCGCTGCTGGCCTCGCTCCTCATACCGGTCCAGCCGAGTATCTAGTTGTCCTTTGGACTCCGTATTGTCGATTTTCCGTGTGGCTTGGTTGTGACTGCTGTTAAAAATAGTTGTTCTTAGATTTGGTTGTGCACAGAGGCGAGGTGGATCCTCCATCTACGTCTCCATCTTGGCGGAAGAGAAATAACTATTTTCTAAAGCAAAAATTAGTGAAAAGAACATTGTTTTTCTTTTTATAAATTTCTTTAGTAGTTGGCTTAATAAAAGAGAGATTCTGGTCTGTTGTGGTATGTTGCTTTGGCTAAAGTGTATTATAAAAATGAGGCTTCACACAGACAAGGAATTGGAAAAAGGAAGAAAGAATATCTTAATAGCCTTTCAGATAATTGTGGATATTTTCCTTTACTACAACTCCAGAAATCAACAAGTAGTCATTCCTTCAAGGTTATAGTATAGACTCTGAAATTATATCAGTACGTGTCTTTATACTATGTTGCATTAAAATTCATTAGTCTGTGTTGCACTTTGATTTTAGTATATGTGCTGCCAAAGCGAGCACTGTCTTGTACTTTGGCTCTTTTACACATGTATGATTTATAGCATCATGCATTGGCCACTTAGAAGATACTGGTTCAGTGAATAATACAGATTTTTCCAAGTGCTGACATATTTTATCATATACTTAAAAATCATGTTTCTTAATATTGCTACCAATATCATCATAAAGTGATTAATTATTGAGAAACTGTCAACTTACCATGGCAGGTGCAAGATTTCCAAATTTCCAGTTTTACATTGGCAGTTTGAACCAGCATTATTAGCAACAAATGCTGTCAGTTCTGTCCTTCAAGTGATAGTCTCAGTTTGTTCATTTTTCAAAGAAATGTATGCCAAACAACCAAGTCCAAAAAACCATAATTTTATTCTTGGTTCTTTTAAGGAAAAGTAGCTTTCATGAAAAAAAACCCAGATAATTTAGCTTACGGGTCAAACATTCTTAAGTGAAATTGGTGGTGAAGAATACAGTGACTTATTGGTACTTGGTGCCTTCCTTAATTCATGATAAAAGCAACACTCGCCAGTGCTTTTGTACCATCAGTATCAATATAGGAAAAAGGGGCAAATAATGTCTTGGTATTACTGTAAAAATAGTTTGACCTAGCATATTCTTTGAGTAGGTTTGGAGACTCCCCAAAAGGTCATAGACCATACTTTGCTGATTG